TTACCGCCTCTGTGGACAAATTCTACGTGGAAAACCTAAAAAGGTGATTCACTCATGAGTAACTTAAAGTCACCCCAACAAATAAGTGCTAGGTTGGCAAGATGGACTGTGAGAGGGGGTTAGGATAGGTGCCCGCAGGGGAAGGCTCAGAGGGACCAGTGGAGCAGGCCTGCATCCTGCGAGGACAGGCAGGATGGGTTTTCCAAGCTCACCTTACACCTCTTCACCAGTCTTGGTTAGGAACTTTCCAAAGTAGAACAGGTGCATCTAGCTTTAACCCAGATGTTTGAAAACCCCTTTTTTTAAAAAATTGGGATACAAGTGCAATTTTGTTACATGCATAAATCACACAGTGGTGCAGTCAGGGCTTTTAGTCTGTCACCCAAATACTCGCAAAGTACAATGTATCCATTAAGTACTTTCTTATCATCCACCTTCCCTCACTCCACGCCCTCCTGAGTCTCCACTGTGTATCATTCAGTCTATGTCACAGCTCCCACTTATGAGTGAGACATGCGGTATTTGTCTTTCCGTTTCACTTAAGATAATGATTTCTAGTTGTATCCCCGTTGCTGAAAAAGACATGATTTCACTATGTCTGATGGCTGGAAAGTATTCCATTGGGTATATATACCGCATTTTATTTATCAACCATCCACTGATGGATACCTAGGTTGATTCCAGATCTTTGTCACTGTGACTAGTTCTGCAAGAAACATACAGGTACAGGTACCCTTATTCTATAACTATTTATGTTCCTTTGGGTCGATCCCCAGTGACGGGATTGCTAGATTGAATGGTGGCTTTATTTTTAGCTCTTTGGGAAAACTCCAAACTGTTTTCTGGAGAGGTTATACTAACTTACAGCCCCGCCGACATTGCATATGCTTTCCCTTTTCTCTGCATCTTTGCCATCATCTGTTACTGTTTGACTTTTTAATAATAGCCATTATGACCTCATTGTGGTGTTAATTTACATTTCTCTGATGATTAGTGACATTGAGCATTAGACGTGTGAAAACCTTATTAGTCCTCTATTTCACATCCCTGGCTGCTTTCAGCCAAAAGACCTCTGAAGTTTCCTGTCATTACCAAACATGAACGGAGAGACTTTGAGTCTGATGGGCGGACTTGTGCCAATTTGATCCTCAATTCAATGTTTCTCATTTGACTACAAAGCTGGAAAAAGAGTTACAAAGCAACAACCTGAACGCCATTTTTCAGCACAGCCATTACCATCTGACGGGGCCCAGGGGAAGGGCAGGGGTCTCTCACTGAAGGTCACTTGACAGAGGACGGCAGACACCTCTTCCCCATAGGACTGACCGCATCTGGCCCCTGAGTCACAGAGATGGAGTCCTGCTGCAGGCTGAGGGTAGCAGACAGGACAGCACCTTAGGTGAGGAACCACCACGTCTGGGTTCAGACTCTACCTTGGCTACTTTCTGGTGTCAAGACCCTTAGGCAAGATCCTCAATCTCTTGGCTTCAGTGGCTTCTCCATGAAATGGAATGAACAGGTTCCTCCCCACAGGGTGTATGAAGAATTTAGATCATGCAATTAAGACATTTTCAAGTGCCTGGGACACGTCATCATGTGATGGGTGGCAGCTTTAATGACTGCTATTGGAAATGAACCTTGAATGCCCTGAATGCTAATTAGATCTGTAGACGGCTTTTTGTTCATTATTATTTTTCCTCTTCGCAGCACCCTCCAAGCACATGGGTGAAGGTGGCAGCCTCCTGATCTTTTCATTGCACTGCGTGCAGAGACATGGACCACCCTAGGGTTTGTTAAAAACATCAATTTAGGCGGAAGAGGATCGTCGGAGCCCAGCAGGTCAACGCTGGGGTGGCCATGAGTGTGCCCCTGCACTCCAGCCTAGGCGACAGAGTGGAGTCCAACACAAACAATCAAATAAATAATCATCAATTGGTTAAATGCACAGCACTGGCAGCCATCTCTGGGTTACCGGTCATCCATTTTTTTCTTTAGTTACTTGAACTTTTGAAGCCCAGAACTTGAGTAGATAAAAAAATCTGTAATGAGCCTACAAAAATATTTGGCTAATATTAGCAGGTGTCCAAGAAAAATTTCAAGAAGGGTGTAATGTCAGAAGATCCTAAAATGTTGTGTGTATTGCCTATTCTCAACTATCCCACTGGCCATACCCTTTGAGATCACAGCATCTTCCCAGAGTAACTTAAACAGGGATAGAGATTACAAGGGAGGGTCAGCAGAGAGACGATATTCAAGCATATGGAAGCTAACCATGGAAACAGTCTCTGAAGTCTTGCCTGGCTCGTGGAAGTCAGTCCGGACTCTCAGAACGAGCCTAATTCTCAGAGGCTTGCCAACATTTCAAAATTATACCCACGAACGCATCCTTCAGAGAGAGTTAAGTGAGGCCCTTGGGGGCTGTGCTATTTTAAGAGAAGAGACTGGCCACAACACAAGATCCACGAGCTCAGCCGCTCTATCAGGTGCCCCGACTGCCAGGACTTTGGGCCTGACTTCCAGAAAAAACAGGAACATTTTTTGTGATCATTACTTCCGCTACAAAACCAAGTATCTAATTACCTTTGAGAGTCAAGAAAAGCACCTTCAGATAGTCAAATGCCCCCAATGGCAAGATCTAACTTCAATTCGACATCTTTTTTGTTCCAAAACGTAGGAAACGTGAGTCTGGGTTGAAAAGTTCAGCATGATTCCCTCCTGACTCTGCAGCAGCCTTGTTGATTCTGGCCCCACTCGGGAGACTCTTGTTTATTTGTTCATCGAGTCTCTGTGGGAGGATGACCGGCTTTAAGGGTCTTTCTACTAAATCACACTGGAGAAATGAAAAGTAATGTTTGTTCTGTTTTGACTTCAGCCACGGGTTAGGGACGACTGGTCCCAAATATCTCAAATCTTTCCCTTAAATAAGATCTACTCTTTGTCAGATGAGATTCGAAACTCTCGCTTCCTTAAGTATTGCTTTTCCAAGTCAAGCTTTTATACCATAATTACATTTCTCTTTGCCTCCTAGTTCCTCTTCAAGCTGGACATTTTCACTGATGGCTCCATAATGGAAAGTGGTAGGGTGAGGCTTCTGAGGGGAGGGTGGAAGGAACACGGCACACAAAGAACAGAGACGCAGCCAGCAGAAAAGCAGAAGCTTAAAGACCAGCGGCCGTTATCTACACATCATCATCACCCACGAAGCAGGCCCCAGTCGCTCCATTTCATAGATGTGAAGATGGGCACAGGAGGAGCAGCCATTGGCCCAAGTCCACACAGTGAGTCACACACAAAGCTCAGTCTGGTGGCTGAGTTCTCATGCTTGGCCTTTTCAATAAATGACGGGACCCAGACAGGTTATCGGGTACAGCAGACACACACCAGGCAAAACGGGAGAGGGGAAGACAGGCAACTTTTAGAGCAGCTGATTTCGCTCATGACAGGCAAAGCTCTGGACGTTTCAAAGTCTGCACAACACTGCTGCTGAGGCTCGTCTCCCCACGCTCGGCGCACCACCCCGCTCTGTAGCCAGGGGACACTTGGAGGCAGCTTGGCTTCAGGTGGCCCTGCTGCGCATCCTTCGTCTCGGCTCGGGGCAGAGGTCTCTTTCCACCACAAAATGAGCCACTCCTCAACTGTCACTAAATACCTCGCAACAGAAGTTGAAGGCGTAGCCTTGTGCGTCCTGTCTTTCCTTGGAGTGATGTGATCAGAGAAAGCAACGAGAGACACACACACTGGTTGCGCCAGCCCAGCCTTGGGCACCTGGTCAGCGGACAGGTACTGATACTTACAACCAGGAAGAAGAGTGGCAAGCATCCCAAAGAAGCATGAAGCCAAGCCACGAGCCCAGAAAAGAGATCGTAAAATGCCAGGAATTAGCAGGGCTCGGTGGCTCAGCCTGTAATCCCGCGCCTTTGGGAGGCTGAGGTGAGCGGATTGCCTGAGCCCACAGGTTCGAGACCCACCTGGGCAGCGAGACCTCATCTCCACAATAAGTCAAAAAAAAATTAGCCGGGCATGGTAGCGCGCACCTGTAGTTCCAGCCTGCTTGGAAGGCTG